GAGAGAGAGAGAGAGAGAGTCCAACTTCTTGGCAAACATTCCATTTCTATTGCGGGCGTAACCGCAACAGGTCCCCTAGTCTCATGTCAAATGTGCTGATTGCCTGCAATAGGACAAAGACTGCTTTGATTCTGAATCTATTCATCTGGGTGGAATTGGGGCTGTTGTGGGGAGAATCTAACACACACACACACACGCACACGCTTACAGGGGGCTCTTTCCAGGAGAGATGGGAGCGACCGGAAGAAGGAATTGGCCACGGAAGGCCCCACAGTTAGCTGGCTACATTGGTTTCTTTTTTTGCAGCTCCCCTTGTGCAGGCAAGAGACTCGAAGGGACGCGCTTCGGTGACGGGACGATAGCCCCCGAATTTGCCAAAACACGCCTCCCCGCCGACGCACAACAGAATATGCGTCGCATCAAAAGGACGCCTGTTTCATCCCCTGTCCTCTCGTATTCCCTCTCCCTCGTTCGATGTCCTATCTCTTACCCCCCCTTTTCTCTTTTCTCTTTTCTTTTTTCTTTTTCCTTTTTCTCTTTGTTCTTTCTTCCTTTTTTCCCCCCTTTTTTCCTCTCTCTCTTTTTTTCCTTTTTTTTTTTTTCGTCTCTTGTTTTCTTCCTTTTTTTCCCCTTTTTTCGATGATAACCCGCACCGACCCTCCATACGAGGAATCAAAACGACGGATTGGGAATCAATGATCCGCGCCAGCACAGGCCGAACCAGTCGCACAGGGTCTTGTCGATCACGCCGTGGACCTGACGCACCAACACTGAAAGGGACAGGGAACCTCTGTTCTTTTGCTTTTTTCTTTTCATTTTTCTTTTTCCTTTTTTCTTTTTCCTTTTTTCTTTTTTCTTTTTTCTTTTTTGGTTCCTCTTTCCCTGAAAATAAGAAGAGGTTTGAACTCTCGATCGGAAGTAGGAAGCAGGGTTGTGACGGACGCACTTCCTGTGAACCACACACAGGAGAGGCACTCCACCACGTGGAAGAAAGCGAAAACAGGGCAGATGACGAATGCACAACTCCTTTTTTTTGTCGCCTTCCCCCTGTTGTTTCTTTCTTTCTTTCTTCGTTGTTTTCCTTGGCAAATTACATGACGGATAGGACAATTTTTAGGGATGTACTGGGCATAGGGCTACAGCCAGGTACGGAACCCGCCGGTGTTGGGACGAGAAGTGACCAAGGAGTTTTCGGGCAGCAGCGACAACGACAAGCCAAGGACCGGGAATCGGTGGGGTATAAAAACCGGGAACGGGCACTGTAGCAACTCATCAGTTGCATAACTCGAACCGGCAGTCTAAAGTGACCTTCTCAATCAGGCAAATGGGAGTCCGACCAAGCGGTGGCCGTGTGACAGGATGGATTTCTTCACGGACCTGGATCTCATCGACGACTCGATGGAGCCCGAAGAATCGGTATGACCCGCACGCAACCCTTGACGGTTCTTACGTCAGATGCATGGGACCGATATCGGCACGCAGCAACTAGCAGCGTATTGCGATAGGCAAGGCCGACGCCAACAGCAGCACAGCGCAATGCGTAGCTTGCTAGCATGGCGGATAATGACGAAGCGGCATGAGGCCAATATCGGCACGCAGCAACCAGCAGTTCATCGCGATAACAGGGCCGGCGCTAACAGCAGCACAGCGCAGCGCGTAGCTTGCGGGGTGGCGGGTAATGGCAAAGTGGCAGGAGGCAAGGCAGAAGTAAGCGCAGTCATCTATGCCTTCGTCTCATACCTAGCGCTCCTCGCAGGCGTAGCGCTTCAAAGCTTCATCGCGGCACTACCACTGCAGCCATCCCTGCCCCCTCTCCGATCTCAGCCCTCCCCTTCGCCCCCCCACTCCCCCTCTCCTCCCCAGCACTCCACTTCCCCCCCTCCTTTGCAAACCACCGAGCGGACACGATGTCAAGACGCGCCTTGCGAACCACCATGGCGAGCTGCCA